TTTTTATATATTTATATTTACGCTTAAATCTGCATGGTATTATTTTAGTTTGAGTCAGCAACTGTAAGTCTCTCTGTATACAAGAGCATTTTCACACTTACAAACATATACTTTTCGTGGCTGTATCTGTTTCTGTACTTAACTATACTATATATTTTTTCCAATAGTTATAAGTTTTATATGCAAAAATTTTGCTAAATGTATAACATCTAATGGAAAACAAAATAAACAATTTTTCATTGGATTTATATACAACGCTAACATAACCTTAAAAATAACAAAACCCGTGCATCGCACGGGCTAAAACTAGTATTAAATAAGTTGCTGTTAAAACTGCTTTACCAAAGAAATTTAAGAGCTCCATTAGCAAACATGATGATGGCTCTAGCAACTTCTAATAAATGGCATTTCTTTCTTTCAGCAATATTCTTGTGCAGAGGAGTATTAAAAGACAAAGATCGATACAATAAAATAAAATAAAATATACCGTTGTTTTAAAATTTTCCCAAGTATATCGTCCAAATATTGTTTACTATACTAGTTTGAAGAATTTGAATTTGTGTTTAAAATTGAGTACGAATCATGACATAAATATCTTTAAAAACCTTTAAGGGCTTTACTTTTAAAACGTAAACCCTAAAGACCCTTGTATGATTATCAATGAAGGTTATAAACCATTTAGATCCAGTGAATGATGTTTGACACTCGATATGGTCTCCTAATATCACCATGTATATGATAAAATTCTTTTTAACTCTTTGCCTGCAATGGATTACAAAAGCCATTAGCAACTCTAGTTTCGATATGTTGGGACAAATTAAGAATATAAGAGTAAAAATAGTACACAAAGTACACAAAGTGTAGTGCGTACACCTTAGTTGACACTCCCATATGTGTTAAAAATTTGACAGTTGATTTTAAAAGATGTCAAAACCAATGTATCAAAATCTACTACTTCACATTGGTGTAAATCAATGTCTCAACCTTTTATATACATATAGCATGGTCCCTTTTCCATTGTTTGGCCATTTTAAACATTTTTGGCAGCAAAATCCCAATGGTGAAGAGGATTAAAAGTGAATTCTTTTTATTATATTTATTTGTAATTTATTTTATTTTATTTTATTTCATTTCATTTTAATTTAATATTTTAATTCAGGATAATGAAATGATCATTTTACCCTTTTTAATTTTTTAATTTGTTGGTCAAATTAGTTGATTACTGGAGAATTTGATGAAATATATCCATTCGGATGAATGCCGTCAATTTATCAAATGTTGGGGAAGGTTGGGGACGAAGTTGCAAAAAAGTTAAAGGATGTGGACGTTTGCTGCAATTTACCCTTTATTTTTGGCAAATTCATTATGGAATTGGAAATCTGAAAAAAATAAATCATTAAGATGTTGATTCTCTATATAGTCATCATTGGTTTATGAAATTAAGTTCATTTTTAATGAATTATCACAGTTTTGAAATTGAATTGTATAATTTTATTCTTCTTTTGAATTCTATGTAGTTTTATCATAGTTTTTGAAATTGAATTGCAATAAAAGGACCTTCTTCGTGTTTCAAGAATAATAGCAGTATTACACTATTATTTTATCTTTGTTGATTGTAGTAGGTTGTTTGGCTTCTGTAACGATGAGGTTCAGATTTATTAGCCATTTCAATCAAAAAAACAGAATATAAAATGCACAAATCAACATAAATAAGAAGTAAAGAACACGATATTTTCGCCCTAAGGCAAGAGGTTTAGAACTAGAGTTCCTAATCTCCTTTTGAGCTTCCGCCAACTAGAAGAAATTACTATAGTAACCGGAACCAAAAACTGCTCAGTATACACCAGGCACTTAGACGAAATTACCCAAGATTACATCAAAAGGAACGGTCCTCAAACTGATCGAAAAACAGGATTCACTCAAGAAACCACAATAGTCTTTTACAAATCATTCAAGATCTATATAAAGAACTACAGAGATTATAGATCTAAAATAAGGCTTCCAATTTCAGAGTGCAAAACAGAGAAGGCGAGAGAGTGCAGAGAGAATACAGAGAGTTCAAGAGAATAAGAATGAATCAGTACACATCAAACTCAAACCCTAAGTATATGAGAATTCTCCAGAAGATCTCCATCCAACGCTCATTGAGGTGACATTTGGCGACATCTCATCCATCCATCCATTAGTAAAAAAACGCATAAGGTAAACACGATTTAAAATACGATGAAACAGAAGCCACCAAATGATCCAAGTAACAATGGTCCAACCCAACAAGAAATAATCCAGCAAGCAAACCGACCAACCAACCAACAAACCGACCCAACAAAACAATAAAATCAGATTTGAACAGCCTCATCACTGTGCCATTTCTCCACAGCTTCTTTTGATATGTTTTATGCCTTAAACATCATATTTTAGTTGAAGAGATTGACTTTTTTTTTTCTTTTAATTTTTTTTTTCCGTAAAGATGAGCATTATTTATTTTACATAAAAATAATATTATTCTTGAAAAGACTTCTAAAAATTTTTGCCTAAGGCTCCGAAGTTGGTTGAATCTGCTCCGTCTGCATCTTTAAAAATAGTTTTGTTCATCGATCTTTCATAGTAGAGATCAAAAGGGAAGCAATATTGTACTGTTGTAAACAAATTCTGTACAGATTCTTTTGCAATATAATTGTATTATATGTGCCAAAATATGGAGCAGTGCTTGAAGTGCCTTTGTGTGCATGAAATTAGCATACGGAATAGTAGAGATGCCAATGAAGCCATTCTTAAGGGGGAGCTATAGTTTCTCATTTCATTGTTAGAGTGCTGATTCCATGAACATCTGTATTATTAGGTATCTACAAGTTTTATTTCATTTCGAATGAGAAGAAAATGTCTCTTAAAGTACTTTTGGTACTTCTAACTAAATTTGAGCGACACTACAGTTAACTTCTTGTTTAATAGTGTCATATTGGATATATAATCACTTGAAACTCGACGTTTTCTTCCTTCCAACCCATGAATGTGATTTAAAAATTTTATTGATGACTAAAAATGATGTCACAAATTTAAACCAACTTAATAGAAATTTAGTAGAGTGACTGCTATAATTTGTGAAAATGACATGTTAATTGCATTGATTGAAGTTTGGAAAATAATGGAGAAAATATATTGAGTTCGGCTCTTGGAGGAGACCGTTTGCCTCCATTTATAGACCTCTAAATAAAGCAACTTGGCCGCCCTATGTCACATCACCTATACTACCGAACCGAAAATTGTGTGCCATCGCCCAAAATCTCAATCTCTTGATTGGTCGCTTATGTCGGTCACGAGACCATTATGATTCTTGGACTGTAGCTATGGCACTAGTAATGATTGTAATTGGTGAAAAAGAAGGTGCTGACGTCATGACCGCCACATGTCATTATGACAGTGGGTGATGGTTAGGTGGGATAGTTTCTCAATGATGGAGAATCATGATGTTCCCATCACTTACGGCGTCCATGATCCGAGTTGTACCTATCTATTTATGCATCCGGCCTTCCTATATGTCGATCTCTGATCCTCTAATCCCTCCTGGGTGAGATGGAAGATCAAACATCAACAAATTCAATACTTGTAAAACTCAATGAAATTGCATTTGTTCTAGCAAAATTATCTAAGGATTTTGCTCTATATTATACCTTATCCAAAAAAAAATTATCTAAGGAAAATGACCAACAATATAAGAAACTTGTCTGCAAAGAGAATTTTCTGCATTTGATTTCCAAACACGAACAGCATAAAATCCTAGAAACTCATTTCTTCTTGCTGGCCTCAGCAGCATTAGTCTTCTTCAGACCACGGATCTTAATTGCTGTTTTCTTTCTCTCCTTCGGCTGCTTCCTGGACTTCTCAACCTTGGTATTAAGACCAATCCTGGAGAGCCTATTTTTAAGTTAGTATCTCTTCGCATTCTCAACAGAGAAGATCAAGCCAAAATCAGTAGATTTGCCTCCACCAAAGTGGGTCCTGAACTTGAATACAAATATGGAATTTGGATCTTTCACTTCACACTGCATCCTTTTCAATTTCTCCTCCAACTCAGGCCTCAGCTTAGAAACATTGGGACGTCCTGGATGTAACACGCCAATGATAAATTGCTTCTTGGAAAGCAACCGATTTTTCATGAAATTCCTTGTTGGGATGGTCACAGATTTATCCTCCATATTGGTGTTTTTCTTGCCAGTAACTCCTTGTGCCTCCTGCCCCTTCGTCGATGGGCAGAGTAATATCGTCCGCGAGGGTTTAGTTTTCTTTTACCAGAAAATGGAAACTTCAGGAAAAAAACTTGAGAAGATCTGATTGAAATATTTGGAAACTTCAATTACGAATATTGCACTTCATTGGCTTTGTCCCATGCTTCAACGAAAAATCAATTTTCAACCCCATAGTTTATTTGCGTGTTCACCTAAAAATTTACTTATCCAATGTTGAGTTTGACCTAATTCTTTGAATTTTTTTTTTTGCCTCAATTACAGTACTGTCTTATTCTTTTTCCAGAGTTCACCACTCATAGAAGTTCTAACCGACATTTGGAACAATATGTATCTCCACTTTTCAAATTTTGTTGTGGCCAACATGACATCAACGTTGATAAGTCGAGAGTTCTTCTCGATTTGGTCAAAAGAGCCTTCGTGTTGAAGAGTCCAGACAAGTCAATCCGACCCATTGACCCAATAATACTCTATCGATAGAGGTCAAACTATGAGAGACATCATATGAAAACATCTAGAGGAAATGCTCCCCCTTGACGATAGCACCTCTCAAATCAATTAATCTCGAAGATAACACGACGGCTTGGGACACATGCTCAAGGCCTAAGTTTTATGATGACTGCCATAATCAAACTCACTTACCAATTAAATTCATTCAAACAGGGTGTGACACGCAACCTTGTGTCGAAACATCGGACGCTTGAGTCCCTCAACTTGCATTAGAAGATGAATGAAGAATGAGAATGGGATCCGAACTAAAGTCCTTTCTGTAAAATTATATCGGACGCTTGAGTCCATCAACTTACATAAGAAGATGAATGAAGAATGAGAATGGGATCCGAACTAAAGTCCTTTCTGTAAAATTACTAAATTCCAATATTATAACACTTTTATTAAGCCAAAATTCTCTAGAAGTTGATAAAAAAAAGTGCAAGGTAATTATTTTTTTGCCATCATCCTTAATTAAGAGACTAGATAATTACAAATTACATCTATTTTGATTGATTTTGTTATTTTTATTATTTGATAAGTGTTAAATAGTTTTTAAAATTAAATATAATTTATTAAAAAAATTGTAATTTTTAATTTAATATTTCCACAGCATTTTGTGTCATCTTTTTCACAAGAACCATACTACATTGCCATAATTTTTTGCCATCTTCCTTGACAAAATGTCGCACGGTATTCTATTATTGAACTATTTAAAACATAGTCAGTTTTTCCATCCAATGAACTGCTGCCACCACTACATTTGTCAAGTAGGTGAATGATGCAGGAGGGTCTGAGTCAGATATCGGACGCTTGAGTCCATCAACTTGCATAAGAAGATGAATGAAGAATGAGAATGGGATCCGAACTAAAGTCCTTTCTGTAAAATTACTAAATTCCAATATTATAACACTTTTATTAAGCCAAAATTCTCTAGAAGTTGATAAAAACAAGTGCAAGGTAATTATTTTTTTGCCATCATCCTTAATTAAGAGACTAGATAATTACAAATTACATCTATTTTGATTGATTTTGTTATTTTTCACAAGAACCATACTACATTGCCATAATTTTTTGCCATCTTCCTTGACAAAATGTCGCACGGTATTCTATTATTGAACTATTTAAAACATAATCAGTTTTTCCATCCAATGAACTGCTGCCACCACTACATTTGTCAAGTAGGTGAACTAAAACATCTTACAAAGTGGCTTATTCCTTTTCACAACTAGCATTTTCACGTGTCATTTCAAGTGGTGTTTTCGTTACTATTTCTGTACATCCTAACTTTCAAGTAATTTTGAAGACGCTAAGCGCGAGACCAGCCTTGGGTAACCAAAAAAGGTCCTGGCTTTAGTAAGGTTAAGGCTACGAATCTTCGAGCCAATTCTTCCGTGTAGCACTTCAATGCCAATTTTGAAGACGCTAAGCGCGAGACCAGCCTTGGGCTAAGCAAATAAGGTCCTGGCTTTAGTAAGGTTAAGGCTACGAATCAAATCCAATTTTCAAGCTAAACCTCAAGAAAAACTTATAAATACTGAAATCACAAATTGTTCTCAAAATACATATATGACGAAATTATATTCCCCATAGACATCTTCAAGTGTTGTCGTTCATGTACACCACATCCTATAATACCTCAAGACCTTTTACAATTCCTTAACTACACTACTACCTTTTTCATTTGTGTTTGTTGATGATTAAGCGAACAAAAAGTGAGACAGCAGAACAAAAGATATAGTGTTTACCTCCAACATTCATCATTAATTCCAAACATTCCCCTTCCTTTGTGCAAAAGTAGATATAAATATTGATAATCAATCTTCAATGATAAAGTTATGTAGATCGTGTTTTTAACCAAACACATCATTCTTTTAATTTTATTTATTTCTCATCATTTCCCTTTAAAATATATGAGAAGCTTATTGGATAATAATTATAAATTACAAGTTCTCCCATCAGATTCTTAAAGTGCAATCAATCATGCATACGATAATAATTTCATACATGCAAGTTGCCACACGCATATATATCAGCAAATTCTACACGCGCGCGCGCGCGCACGCACACACTGTTTTGGATAAATTTTACATCAATTAACGATAAAATAAATATGCAATATATAAAGGCTGAGACCTATGAAATGTTGATTTTTAAGATGAAATTCCAAATCTTGAAATTTTTAAGATTAAGTTTTCAAAATTATTAACTTATCCATGATCCTGATTGAATATTGTGTTGGTGACCTCTCCTATTGGCTATTGAGTCGATAAAAGAAAATAAAATTCAAATATCATGATGTTAAGGGTGATATTTTATGTCAGTTAAATATAAAAAATTATAATCAACATATTAGAGTTTGAAATATCATTCTTAAAAAAGTTGAATACTAGATGGAAACCCAAATGTTAATATGATATCATAATCCATTATGATTAAAACGAACAATCTAGTCCGTCTAAAGCTCAAAAGAGCCAACATTTTGCGAGCATGTTAAAGTAAAATCTCACATCAATCAAGTATAAAATTGACCCTTTAAGATGAATCTCATAAATTATACATGAATGATAGAAATTTGACCTTAGCTAGGTTTTGCACTCTTTGTCCTCTAGGTGAGGTTATGGTTCTATTATTATTATTATTATTATTTTAAAGTCAATAATTAATTTTATTCACATTTTTCATAGGGCGCCCAACTTTGCAATCGCATATTCCATCGACTTTTATTAAAATTCATTAAAAAATTGACTTTAATATCTACCAAACGGGGTATAATTTCCAATAGAAAAAAGAGATGATCTACGTAAGTAGCATCTTCTCACGTGGTTCAGAAGTTCCATTGTGGTTTCTAAGGTCCCATGTCCAGTTGTATATGTTGTTAACAGTACAATGATACAAAATCAGTGGAACAGTTTCCCCTCCAAATTAATTAATTAATATAAGAATAAAATCTTCGACCGTGGCAAGAAATGGATTCAGGGGAATATTTTATGTGTCCACATTAATTACTACACAAAAAAGAGATCTAGGAATCACATAAGATTTTCAGACTCAATCATCCACACTAAATTATTCCATTCTTGATAACTGCAACAAGTATCATAACAAATCCACACACGTTCTGCCAATGCCTCAATATCTTGGAAGATAAATGCATAAATTATTGCTTTCCTTTAATGCAAGGAAAAAAAGAAAAAGAATTATAAATGTCAATTATAATGTGTAGTTCTTCGTAATAATGTGAACCAAACATATCCTAATTGATTTAGCAGAAGCACAAAAAGATACAACATGCATCGAAAATTATTTGATTTTGCAAATAATTGAATATTTGAGAGATCATTGACTCTTAACAAGAATGTGAAAACTCGACAAGATTAGAATAGTTCCAAATTTTATTCGATTATCAAATTCATTCAAAATAAAACGATAAACTATAAAGTGGATCAATAATAATACTATAAGAAAGTCCTAAAACCTTTAAGGGTGTAAAACACCCCAATGATTATGTGGACAAAAGTAAAAAATTTAAATTTAAACAAAGTAAGCTAATAATAGGCAAAAGAGATCATTGAAGTATATTCATCAGCTCCTTCATAAATCATATTTTTCATAGGAGGATTGAACACTAATATACAAAAATCTTATTCTTTACATGTCAAGTACTATACATGTGTACCCAATAGCACGAGAAAAGGGCAATTATGTTACCTGTACAAAGGTGGTTTACAAAAGTGTGTTCACAAAATGATATGACAAGATCTTGGTCATTGATTTCAAAAACTATTTTTTAAATCATTGCCAACACGTATTTTGTAAACCAATTTTGTAACCTAACTTTGTACAAGTAGCATGATTCAGAAAAGGGATGACAACCACTATGCTGAAAGTGAAAAACAAAAGTAAGGAATAAAATTGATTCACATATATTAGTTCACATCATCATACTGATAGAATATGTGATGATATGTGAGAATTAATGAGATCAATGTTAACAAGAATCTTGGATTATTCTCTCATAGAAATATTTAATTATAAAGTTGTAAGCAAAGTATGATTCTATGCAATAGTATCCTCAAACTTTTAACATAGACGATGTGCATAAATCCCTATACGTAAATTATATATATATATGTGGGATTATGGCATTAAGGACGATTTGATGTCTAGAAAGATTGAGTTGTAACTGCTTAACTGTGTTTTATTAAACAGGCAGTGATCTTCAAGGGATTGCTTCGAGAATAGTGTGTATATATATACACACACACACACATATGTTTGTGTATATTTTAACGCTGTAGTTTTTACAACATGTGCCCACAATCTACATTAGATATTATACCAAATATTTTACACTTTGTTTATCTTACTGTAGTTTGAATCGAATCATTATTTAAAAGAATATGAATCAAAAGTAATCAACACAATCTCTTGTTTCGATCTTTTATTTGTACTTTATAATTATATTGAACAATGTTTTTGATAAGCTTAAAAAGTCTGTACAATTACAAGTTAAAAATAGGTTTTAAAATAAATTAATTTATGAAAAAAATATGAAATAAGTTACTTATTTTGATAGTAATTTTTGTTAGATTTTCTCGATGTCCAAGTCTTCTGATATTTAACTAAACAATAGTGAGCAAACATTTATTTCCTGTGAACATAGTTATCCATTGTATGCATGTGAATGCATAGTTTTATATGAGGAATCTTTCCATCTAAAGGTGGAAGGACCTTTGTGGTTTGACATTGTACAAATGTTTGAGTCCTTTCAACTAGTCGTTGATGAGATGATACGATTATCACATGGCATTAATGATAGCATTCCAATAAGAACATATAACACGGTACTACAAAGAATTAACATTTCAACGACAACTTGTCCATAATTTTTGGAGAAATAAACAACCAATCCGGCCCCTAGTAACTTTATCTCGTACAAAATGTATTTGAGGCTTTGTGGATACGCCTTTTGGAGCATCTTCAGGGTTATATCCGACGTTTAAGGCTTGGCTATTTGAGGCTTTATAAAATTTTTCCAATTCTGAAATAATTGATCTAACCTTTGTAATCCAGCTATGACCCTTTTGGGAATCTCTAATAAAGTTCATACTATTCAAAAAAAAAAAAGTGTGAAGATAACAAAAACACGTGTAGTACCCAATCATGCTTAAATAATTGATCCAAGCTCATTCTTGAATGAATTTATTTAACAGAAACAGGATTGAGAACACTCTCATAGTCATCCTGCAATAGAGAAGCCACAGAATGTATTTGATAAAACTTCATTTCATCATCAGAATACAGTCAAAATAACTTCCACTGCAGTGCCAATCTTTGCAATGGAATTTACAAGACAAGTGCATCAAGATTCTTTAACTTGCTTGTAAGTTGACTCAAGTTTCTCAACTTAATTACATACCTATTGACTAGTTTCAGTTTTAAATTTATAATCTGAGCTCCAAATCTATTTCTTGGGTGTCACTTGTTTCAGAATTCTGACTACTTGAGCCCATCGAATCACTCCGACCTTTCTTCTTCCTATTCAACGATTCCTGCAAAACAAATGGCAATAAAAATGGTCATTATTAGGACGTCAGCATTTTTATGGTTATGTTCCGCCAAAGCAACGAAATGCTATAACTTGAGCGTTTTTCAACCCCGAAAATGTTGTAAAGTACCTCTAGGTTGAAGAAGTGCTTTGTGTTTCCGGGCTGCGAAAAATGTTGCGTTCCTGATATTGCAATGCCAGGATGCAATCTGATTTGAATCCCAAATTCACAAGAAAATATTTAAGTACCCAAATTAAAACAGAAATGAATTTTTCATAGATGAAATCTTGCAAAAAGTACATACCTTGCAGCACTGCTCGGTTGGGAATCTTCGTATCTGATTTTTGCACTTTCTGAATCTGGCAATCCCATCTATAATAAACACAGACATGTTCATCAGTCGCTCACTAAATTATAGTGATTGAATAAGCGTACACACACACACACTTTAGAATTAAAGATAGCAATGACGTTTATGTCATGTCATATCATCCCAATATTCAATTTTCACAAGGTGATGTCTTGCTACATTAATTTGTTAGGACAAAATGAACAGCAGCGTAGTCTTTCGAATTTCCAAGTTAAGGTGTACTGAGGAAAAAAAAAAGGAAAGATGGAAAGAACCCGAAAATACCCCTATCTTGAGATAATCAAGGATAAGATTTCCACTCTTATCTAGGGTATAATCATTTCCTTACTATGGGGGATCAGATTTTTATATAAAGTGGAATCTCAAATTTTGAAGGAAAAATGAGGATGAGACGATCATAGCCAGTTAAGTATGACATAGAACCATAATTAATTACCCTCTGTTAAGTTTTTTACAGTAGAATTCTGATTAAAAACCTAATTGTAATTATCACAAGAAAATTGTAATAAGATTGTATAAGAAATTATTTCTGTTTGAAGTTTCACATACCATGAAGTTATGGGAGCCTGAAAATCCATAAGGGGAAGATATTACTGATGATGAATATGGGAAGGACGAAGAAGAAGAAGAATAGCCTGTTGGCGGTCTCATATCCTCCTGCAGAAATGTCAACACAATAAAACTCCAAAAAATTAGAAAAAATTCACAAATGATCAGCGAATATAATTAAATTCAGATTTATGCTTTAATCGTTTCATTGGAGAATTCTAACAAAAAGAAACATTACTGAATACCTGGCTGAAATTTGGGGCATAAGGGGTATGAACAGAAGAAGGAAGGTAGGTGCAGCCCATTTGGCTGTGCAATCTGATCTTTTCAAGCTGAGCAACACCTAGCCCTCTTTGAGGTTGTTTAGGCTTGTCTGAATTGCCTTTTTTGCCTTTTCTAGATGAAGATGATCCTCTGTCATTTCCTAGGTTTGGTTCACCAAAGTAATTACTTCCCATCTCTTTTTTTGTATGATTTGACTCAAGAAATGAAGAAAATTTTGCTTACTACTTGAAACAAATTTTGATTCTTGAAATCTCTGATGCAAAAAACTGGTAAGGAATCAGAGAGATCTTCTGATACCCTTTTAAGCTGTCAACACTTTGCATTGAGTAATTATTGCATCGCTGGATCAGATTGTGTATGTGATTCATTCTATCTAATATAAATATATATTTGGATTTTATAACAATGTCGTTCTAACTCGTTTAAAATTAATATAAATCCCTATATTATATTCTTGACTTAGTCATCGAGTTGGAAAAAAAAACTAATGGCTGGAAAGTGATTATCTATGATTTTAACTGATTTAATATACAATAATGGAAAAGATTTCTTGTCCAACGCGCCTCTACAACACGTTTGCTCTTCTTTCTCTACTTTTTATTTCTCCATCCAAAATATAATATTTTAATTTAACAATGTTTCAAAGAGAAAAATGATTAACTATTCTCTCATGCACCACTAGGATTACTATTCACTTTATAATTTAATTTATCATCTTCTAGGGAAAAAAAAAAAAACCTACACATTTTTTTTACTAGTTAAGAGGTAAGGATAGCAACGTGGTGGGTATGGGATGGGTTGTGAATTCTCATCCCCATCTCGTTAGGTATTTTTGTCACCTTATCCCCTTCCAATACTCAGTTAAAACGGGATGTGACAAGTTCGGGGCGAGATCGGGGGCGGGGCAGGGGTAGTTAAGAGGTAGGGATGGCAACGGGGCGGGTATGGAACGGGTTGGCAATTCTCATCCCCGTCTTGTCGGGCATTTTTGTTATCTTACCACATCCCCATACTCGATTAAAGTGAGGTGGGATCGGGTTTTCTTTTTATTTTTTATTTTTATTTTTTTAGTTAGTAAATATTATTACTTTTTTACTAATTTGATAAAAACAACTTATCTTCTCTTTAAAAATAAAAAATTTATTATTTTTGTTCAATAAAAAAACTTAAATTTTAAATTAACTGTAAGCGGGGTGGGCACTATGTTTCCCGTACCTGATTCAGGGTAATGATCCTAGTCCCGTCCCCGCCCCCGCCCCGTCTACCCGGTTAGGCGGGTAATCCCCACCCCATTCGGGGCGGGGCCAACGGGTATCGTGTTGAACATATTTTTTTGTCATCCCTATTGATAGGAGTAGGGATCTTGGAATTTGTGCTTTAAGAGGATTGAGGGACCATTAATTCGGAAGGTTATTTACTTCAGAAAATTTAAACACATATATCAAGAATCTAATAATAAGGAATTAAATAATTGAGAATTTAAAGCTATTTAGATTCCAAAATCTTATAGCAAGAATAGGGGGATTGATTGTTTATAAAAAGATATTCTCCAATGAGAAAATATTATGCTAGAAAAGGAAAAATACAACAGCAAATAGATAAGGATTGTCTGTAAGAAGATATTCTTGAATGAGAAAAAATTGTAATAAGTAATGAAATATGAGTTGTAACAAATTTAATCTATTTAGATTCCAAATACTTATAATGCAAAGTATATGAGATCAATTCTAAAAAAATATATATATTCTTGACCTTATAAGTTGCAACCATAGATCTCAATTGGTGATAGAAAGATTTCAATAATATTCAAACAGCTGTATCTTAAATATTACATTTTCTTCATGATGTATGTATCATTGTAGGATATCTTTGTAGTTCCAAGATTTTACTTCATGATCTTATTTTTACACGCACACACAAATATATATACAGAAATGATCTAATGAGCACCGGTGCTCATCTTATCCTAAACACCGATGAGTTGGCACATTAATTCATTGNGAGAGAGAGAGAGAGAGATATATATGTAGATATATGTAAATTTAGATTATGAGTTGCCATGCACTAAATGTAATAATCAAGCTGTTCGACGCATGATTTGTGGGTCATATTTAATGAGTTGTGTGGTGGAAAGTAAGAAGTACCTTATTTGTTAAAGAAACATGTGAACTCAGGTAATAACAAGAGACAAACCATAAATTGCCCCAAAGCATATCATTCTTAACTTTTAATATGGGGTGTTTGTCTGCCTGTCTCTCCCAAGTGTGTCATTTTGTTAAGGACAATCTTGGGAGTTTATTACTTAGCCCCATCCATTAGTGTATCTGTTGCCTTGAACTAAAGATCGACTGGATAGAGTTCTGTTGTTTACTATTTCTTCTAGTTACAATTTTAATAAATCTATAGTACTATCTTCGACAACACGGCGGAACTAAGGTTGGGCATGGTGGGTCACATGCCCCACCAATTTTTTAACTTTTTTATTTTTAATTTTTTTTTCCTAACTGTATTATTCTTATCTGATTGGTTCTGCATCCGTGTGACTGTAGTATGCTGATTGGTTTACACTATTTCGAGAAAATTCTATTTTTTTTCCTTCCAGTTGTCACTTGTATTATTTTTCATTCAATATCTCAGCTCTGGAGGTCATGGATGTCACAATTAGAGTTTTGATTCTACTTTCCCTTCTTTTCTGCCCTGTGATAAATCATGTTAAGTTCTTAGACCAACTAGAAGATTTTGAGAGAAAATTCTCATTATAAGCTTATGTATTTAAAATGTGGACATTACAATTAGTTTTCTCGTGCAGTGATTTATACTTCAATTTACATTTAATCTGTATCTCATGAAAAGAAAATCTTGAGAAATACAAATAAATTATCTAAAGTATTACAAAGAAAATATCAAGATATTGTTGATGTCATGAGATTAGTGAAATTATATAGAAGTATAGCTCCAAGCACGAGGGATGATGGATAGTTATTTTTTATTTTTTTGAATGGTTTGTTGATTCTATGAAGCTCACGACATCAATGTTCTCAATATGAATGATATGTTCATAACTCTAAGTCGTTTACGAAGTGACATGGTGGCAAATTTGCATCACTTTCATGTGTAAATATTTTATGTCGTCATTGATATGAAACTTCAAGAGTTAAATGATTGTTCTTGTAAGATAAATAGTGACTTGCTCATTTATGTTGCGTGTTTGTGTCCAAATAATTCATTTGATACTTTGACGAGAACAAATTGATTCGAGTATTTGAATATTCAAGTATGTGATTGTTAAAAGAATGACACAAATCTTGCACATAAGTTGGTTGCGAAAAATTAAACACAAAGTGTATTCATTAGTCGACTAGCTTGTGACATTAATTTTAATTCTTCATGTAGTTACTGCTACAGTTGAGAGAGCATTTTCAGCAATGACTTTTTTTTCCTGCAATAACTTGTGTAAAAAATTGTTTGCGCGATTGAATCGGAGATCAGTGATTGAATGATAATTTTATTGCATATATTTAGAAGAATATATTCGATAATATTGAAAATGATGTAATTATGGGATTAACAAAGTATGAGAATATATAGAGAACAATTGTAATAAGATATTGAATATTTCAATTTTTTTACACTTTTTTTTCAAATTTAATTATGCACCCTAACTGAAAATATCTGCGTCCACCTCGACGAAAATTTGATTAGCAGATTTTCTGGTTATGGAGAGACCAATGATTTTATTGTTCTTTCAATGTAGATCCCATAAAATCCTCGCTTACCCAATAATATTTAAAAGGTTCTTAATATATTACAATTGTACTCTAGATTTTTGTACTGCATTGACCTCATTATCAATATCTTCAACATCCTTCCCATTACACACGATCAAATTGTCATTATTCTATTGACGTGGCTATTCGAATACGCAGGACTCTTAACAATATTCACATTAGATAATACGGGGTAGCAGTAGCAACCCGGAGAACTACTCTACACAACAGTTTCTGTAAACATGACTGCCAGCACTAGAAGTCTGAAATCTGCACACTTTTTTGGCACAATTTCATGAAATTGAGAGTGGAAACTTCAATGTTTTTCGTAGGGATGAACACGGTTCGGTTTCGTTGTTTGTTTTTCAAACTAAATTACTTAAAACCAAACTACTTCAAATTCTGAACCAAGCCAATCCAAATTACTTTTTTTTGGTTTGGTTCGATTTAAAACTACAATTTAAAAAAGATAAAAATAACATCTATAAAATAAGTTAAATTATAAATATTGATCTAAAATTTCACTAAAAATTACAAATCAAGTTCTATATTCCAAATCATTATAATGAAACAACATGATAGGAATATTTTAACCTCTTAGTCGATATTAATTGGCACAACATCTACGATTATAACACATGATTCATTCTCTCCATAAAAATAAGAATATAGTACATGAATGATGAATCCATCGATTGTAGTTAAATGATATAAAATAACCAAAAAATGAAAATGAATAGAAATATAATTATATTTTCAATAAATTTTTTTGTATCATCCTATACCTTTACATCATCCAAATATTAACGAATCACTGTAGGTTCCTTGTTACTGCATTTTTAGGACAAATCGTCATCTCAACCATATTTGCACTCAACGAAACTCCTAAAAAAATTAAGAATTTGACCACTAGTTGGAATGCAACTCAGAAATAGTTAAGAATTTTATTAACTAATACATCTTTGACAATTTGTGAGACAATCTTGTATTTATTTGTATTCAATCTTCACCAAAAATAACACAGTGAAATATTTATTGGTCAAATCTTCAAAACAATTATTTAGATAATCTACCAATCATTCTAGCAATTAACATTAACATCTAGAAACTAAGTTAGAATGTAAATAATTAATTGAGTGACCTCACCAGAAAATTGAGATTCAAATAAACAAAAATTTTGTTTGCTAAAAATTATAGGGAGCCTGGCACAAATTAGAAAAAATAACACGACTATCATTAAAATATAACAAATAACTATCAAAAGATAAAGAAAAATTGGATGAACAGACTTGAAAATTTATTTTAAATTGGAGAAAATTATTAGTCGAAAGAAAAGAAATATGAAAGTTTGAATTAAAATCTAGATTTAATAGTCTCCTCAATTGTAATGGGTGGTCGATGAATTT